GGTAATAGGAGGAAGAGGGGTTTCGGGGTTTTGAACGATCGGCTTAGAAAAGGAAAGGGGAGAGATCGGGGAGGAGGTGGAGGTGGAGGTGGAGGTGGTCCTCCTGGGAGAACCCAGAGGGAGAGCCGACGCCTTGCCATCGAGGATCTGTTGCGGAAGGGGTAGCTATGGGGGACAGCGGCAAACTTAGCTGGTTTAACCGATTTAATCCTGGACGTCTGAAGTCGGGTAATAGCAAAGATAAGGATGAGTCGATCGGCAGCGGCGACCGGTCGTCAGGAGGCGAGCCACCAGCAGAAGTTGATATCACTTCGACGATGACACGTCAGCGCGTGGCGGCGGCCAAGACCTATATTGAGAACCATTACAAAACCCACATGAAGAACATTCAGGAACGCAGGGATAGGCGATCGAGTCTAGAGAAGAAGCTGCAGGAGCAGCATGTCCCGGAAGAAGAACAATTTCAGATGCTGAAGGATTTGGAGCGGAAAGAGACCGAGTACATGAGACTACAGCGGCACAAGATCAGCGTGACGGATTTCGAGCTGCTGACGGTGATAGGTAGAGGCGCGTTTGGTGAGGTGAGGCTGTGCAGGGAACGATCGACAGGAAATGTGTACGCGATGAAGAAGCTAAGGAAGGCAGAGATGTTGAGGAGAGGACAGGTAGAGCATGTGAAAGCGGAGCGCAATTTGCTAGCAGAGGTAGATAGTAGTTGTATAGTCAAGTTATACTGCTCGTTTCAAGATGATGAGTTCCTGTACTTGATCATGGAGTACCTGCCGGGGGGCGACATGATGACGCTGTTGATGCGGAAGGACACGCTCTCTGAAGACGAGAGTCGGTTTTACATTGGCCAATGCGTGCTTGCGATCGAATCTATCCACAAACACAGCTATATTCATCGTGACATCAAGCCAGATAATCTTTTGCTCGATCGGAATGGTCACATGAAGCTGTCGGATTTCGGCCTTTGTAAGCCGCTCGACTGTAGCTCGTTGCCTACCCTTCATGAAAACGAGCTGCGGAATGGAGATAGAACGGGGGAGAGTAGCCCGATGATAATGGAAGGGCAGGGATCGTCGGGCGCGCGAAGACAGCGGAGTCAGGCGGAGCAGCTGCAGCATTGGCAGCGCAGTCGCCGCCTTCTTGCCTATTCCACAGTTGGGACGCCAGATTACATAGCACCTGAGGTGCTCTTGAAAAAAGGCTACGGCATGGAGTGCGATTGGTGGTCGCTAGGAGCCGTCATGTACGAGATGCTCGTCGGTTTCCCGCCGTTCTACGCTGACGATCCGATGACTACGTGCAGAAACGTACCTTTCCCTCCCGTCCTACCTCCCCATCCCCCCCTTGCCTTTCTCCCATTTTCCTCCCTCCTCTCTCTCCTTCCAACTCTCTGGATGATTCATATCTCCTCCGTTGAATTCTTTCTTCGTTGCCGTGTACGTCGAGATGCTCGTCGGTTTCCTACCATTCTACGCAGATCCGATGACTACTTGCAGAAACGCACCTTCCCTCCCTTGCTGCCTCCCCCTCCCCCCTTTGCCTTTCTCCCCTTCCTCCTTCTCTCCCTTCCTCCTCTCCCTTCTTCCAGCTCTCTGGATGACTCATATCTCCGTCGTTGAATTCTTTCTTCGTTGCCATTCTACGCTGACGATCCGATGACTACTTGCAGAAACGTACCTTCCCTCCCTTCCTGCCTCCCTCTCCCCCTCCCCCTCCCCCTCCCCCTTCCCCCCTTGCCTTTCTCCCCTTCCTCCTTCCCCTTCTTCTCTCTCTCTTTCCAGCTCTCTGGATGATTCTTACCTCCTTCGTTGAATTCTTTCTTCGTTGCCATGTACGTCGAGATGCTCGTCGAGATGATTCATATCGCCATTCTATGCTGACGATCCGATGGCTACGTGCAGAAATGTACATTCCCTTCCCTTCCTGCCCCCCTCTCCCCCTTTCTCTCGCCTCGGCCCCCCCCGCTCCTGCCTTTCTCCCGTGCTCCTTCCTCCTCCTGTGGATCTTCTTCGCTGAATTCTCTCTTCTTCGCCTCTGTATCACCTACCTACCTGCCCTCGTCTCTCCCTCCCACTTCTTGGCTTTCCCAGGTCCCTAGTTCATGGTGCTGTCGCTTCCTCCTCGCCTTATCCTCTTCTTTCCCCCGATCTTCAGCTCCTTCCATCTTTTTTGCCCGTGTCTCCCTCCCTCGCCCCCCCCCTCAGTCCCGTCTTCCTCTTCCTAGCTTCTGCTCCGTAAACAGCGCCTAACCTCTCCTCTCCTCCATAGCTGCTCGTTTTCTCTCTTCCTTCTCTCTCTCTCTCCCTCTCGTCCTCTCTTCCTTATCCTCTTGCTCTCTCCGCCTTTACTCCTCTCTTGTCAGCTCCCTCCGGTTGTCCTCCATTTCCTCTTTATGATTTTTTTCCCCCTATTGTGCCTTCTGCAAAAGAAATTATGCAGTTTTGCTATATTTGTCTCTCGCTGCCCCCCTGGGTTCTTTATCCCTCTCGCATCTCCGTGTTCTTTTCTCGTCCTTCCTCGTCCTTTACCTCTTCTTCTTCCCCCCCCCCCCCCTCCCTTCATTTCCTCCCTTTCGTATTCCTCCTCCTAGCTTCCCCTTCTCTCTGTCTCTCTTTCTCTTTCTCCTTCTCTTTCCCACTTTCTTGCTCGTTTTTCTCTCCTTTCCTTTCCCGCTATCTTTCTTCCTTTGTCTTTCTTCCCCTCTTTCCCCTCGTCTTGCTTAATTTCTTCTTCTTTATTCTCAAGCACGTCATTTCGTGTCATGCCAGCATGATATTGGCTGTCGGTGTGCACAGTTCCCATCTGCTTGTCGAGATGGGGGTGGTTGGGGGGGTATAATTGTGCACTGTTCCTGGGGGGTCTTGAGATCGTTCTTGGGCGGAAGGGAGATAGCATAGTGACGGCAACATTGTGCATTTACAGTATTATCCTCCTGCGTCCGAGGGAAGGAGGGAGG